AGAGTGGGAGAATATGTGTGTGTCTCTCTCTTTTTGAGGTAGAGAGAGAGAGAGAGAGAGAGGTAAGGGAAGGTGAAAGCTATATGGACACGGAGGTTTCGGTTTCAGCTTTCAAGATAAACCCGTGCTGCTTCCTTTATATCTTTTGATTGAGCCATGTTCCTGTAGCTCAGGTCTTCTTTATCGACTCAACAAGCGGTTCTAATCATTATAATGATTGTCTCTATATCATGAATTTTATTTTATTTTTCTTTTATTTATAATAAAATATATTATTGTATCTTAAATATTAGTTTCACAGTGATTTACTAGACTCACTTACCAAGGATTAAGGGTTCAAAAAATATATATATATTTAATAAATATTTTGATAATTTCTCGTAAGATATTAAACTAAATTATCGTAAGATTTTAGGTTCGAATCTTATTTTTATTATTTATCCATATTTTTTTTTTCTTCTCTTTTCTCTTATAATATTTTAGTGGTATAAGAAGACTGATACCAATCAAGGTAACATAAATAAAGTCCACTGTACATCTTTTCAACCAAATCTAACTTTTTTTTTTCCTTGCATATTTATATATATTAGAGAAAAACCTAAAAGTAGAAATTGATTGAAACCAACAATGTTATCCCATAATGATAAGTTCTCTGTTACTAATTGTTAAGCCCAAATCAGGTATTATATTATATTTCTAATTTGTGCACTTCTTGCAATGGTTTGATAGCTTGATTTATGCAATGCAAATTCATTATTATTATTTTATTATTTTTTTAAATAATTTATTTTGCAATTCTTGTTCCTTACTTGATTTATGCAATGCAAATTCATTATTATTTTATTATTATTTTTTAAATAATTTATTTTGCAATGCAAATGCTTGATTTATGCAATGTCTATTATTTCCATTGACTAATTGGGTCCGAATCAGTCGTTCTGGTCCCAATCAAGGCTGAGCTCGACCTCCAATTCCTGAGCTGATGATCTCAGGTGATGGGTATTACGGTGACCAAAGGCTGCACGAATTTTCATGAAAGAAAGCCGTAGGCTCAGCTTTGCAGCTCCACAGGACAGACTGTGGACTTGCGGTTCAATGACGACGTACATCTCTGGTGATGCTTGTGGGAATTTGGCACAGTGGGCGCCGTGGTCGTGTGGGGGCAGCAGAGAGAAGACGGCCTCGGATGGTAGTGAGCGTGCATTGATTAAGAAATGAAGGAAGATGCTGAGCAGTGAGCAGGTCATGTGTGGAGGAGGAGCTCCCTAGAAAGCAGAGCAACGCCCAGCTCCATCTCCCAATGGATGCTTCCTATGGATTCCTCTCTCTCTCTCTCTCGGTGCTGTATCCGGTGAGAAGTGGAGATGTATTTGTACAGAAAAGTGCCTTTTCCACAGGGAGGGTTCTTGCATTCTGTCTGTCTTGCCTCCCATGGCTTCCTCTCCGTGTTGTATCAACCGGATGTATGCGGATGCTACTCTCCCCCAGCCGAAAAGCTGCCTGTGGTTCGGTACTGTATCCATAAGATGTATGTGCATATTCTTCAGAGAGAGAAAAAGTGTCCTCTGCAAAGGGTTCTCATGCATTCTTATTGTCATCCTTCTCATGGATTCCTTTCAGTACTGTGCCAATTAGATGCATGTATATATTCTACTCGTTTCAGATAAAAGAAGAATGCCTTTTTCCCAAAGGGTCGATGCCTTCTTCCTATGCGTTTAGTATGCACATTTCAGAGAAAGACAAGTGTCTTTTCCAAAGAGAAGTGCATATGATACTGAGATGTATGTCTATGTTTTATTAAAGGTTTATGCGTTGTGTACCGACGAGATGTATGCATGCTTATAATTCTATATATGAGAGAAAGAAAATGGCTTGCTCCGAAGGATTCATTCATTTTTCAACGTCATTTTCATCTTCTGCTCAGCTTCGTCCACTGTCAGCACTGCAGCAGCAGCAGCAGCGAATACATTTATGTATCTGACATCCCAATGGCAGCATATATTTGTCAAGATCTTTCCACAATCCTACTATCGAGTAGAAGATGCTCAAAATACCGACTACCAATCAATCTGCACATATAAAAGTGATCTCATAGTTAATAGGGAGATGTACTGCTACGGGTGACCAAATTTAATAGACATATATCAAAAGAAAGAAGAAGAAGAAGAAGATAAAAGGCATGGCTGCGACGAAGTCATCCTTCAGCTTTTAGCCATCAACACAATGCAAGAAATGTTCATACTGGCAGAATCATAGCCTATCTGATCTGCCTCCATTGCCTTCTCAGGATACAGCTTGCCAAGGATATCGCTGATCATCTTCATGAGAAGTTTTCATTAGCCATATGTAAATTAAGGGTAAAGGATAATTCTTCCAACTTCTTCCACTCATCATTGTACAAGCATCTTGGTGGAGGAAGTCATGAACTCCCCACTCATTGTACTTTAATGTTTCTCTCCTATTTATACAGATTAAGAGGAAGGATTTTCCTCATCAGAATGAAGGATTTTTCTCAACAGAATAAAGAGATTTTCTTATATAGTTAGAAAAATCTTATCTTCTATCAATCAGAGATTATAGATTGAGATTTCTTAGGCATCAAATTGTCGTAAAATTATGATATATGTTTCACGAAACACATTGACTAATGTCATATTTTGACTTTTGTTCTTCGAGGAACTCAAAATCATCTTTGAGATGCTACTGATCTATTTGTTTATTTACTAATTATGTTTATCTTATGTTAAAATATGATTATACCAAAAAAAATCATTCCTAAACCATGTAACATCGAGTGTGTAGGTGGATCCCCATGTACTTCATCATAAAACACTACATCTACTACAGTGTGAGAGAAGAGAAAAGGAGAAGATGTCATTCTAAATTCTGCTACCCAGCACAAGTCTTCCCGCCTCATCGTCGTCGTCGTCATCATCATCTCTCTCTCTCGCGCACGGACACACACGCACAGGATCACCGCCGATCCACCTCGGGATGCCTTTAAATATATGCTACCAAAGTCACAGTTTCTCCTGCAGCAGAGACAGTGACACAGCCAATGTGGTGAATGAGATTAACCGAGAGAACAATTGAAACAGGGTGTCGAAAGCCTTGATCCGAGTGAGGTGATGGCTTCGGGCTGGCTGTGCTCAAAAGGCTGTTTTGAGTGGCTGTGGACTCGCAATAGTCGGGCAGGCATGGAATCCCACCACCAAAGATGTCTTTTCTGTGATGGGAGTCCTTCAAAGGTTCTCATCCCCGTCCTCTTCCTCCACTCGCTTCTGTCCCTTTCCTCTGCCGCCTGCACCGGCGAGGAACACGAGATCTGCTGCAGTTTTCTATAGTTCCTGTTGTGTCTTTATTGTTAGATACCCATGCCGTGTGTCGTTATGTGAAGCTAAGTGGTGGCTGATGGGTCACGAGATAAAAGTCGCTCGGGTGCATCTCGTCTTTTGCTGTCAGTCAGTAAAGGAAGAAATTTAACGTGCGATCAAAGCAGAAGAATCTGATCGAATTGGTTCTTCTCCTCTTACTTCACAATAGTAAAAACTTTTCCTTACAGATCTCAGTCTGAACTCCACAGCCACATGGAATGACCGACAGTTGCCCCTGAGATCTACAAGTGACCTCCTGCAGCAAAAGAAACCCAATCATGTTGAATGAACAAGGTTATCAAATCCTTCTATTGAATCTTCCGATAAGGATTAACCCACTCGTGCATCACTCTTTCATGTTGTATGCCTCAGAGAGAGAAGAAAAAAAAAGGGTCAGACGATTGTGGCTTTGGGTAGCCACCAGCCACCGTGGTGACAGATCCAACACTAAATAAGAGGCAAAGCAGATGACAGAGAGAGAGAGAGGAAGAGTTGAGGTGCTGTGAGCTCTGATGCCGAGGAGACAGACACAAAGGCTGTTCCCATCACATGCTCATCACCTTCTTCTCATCTTCACTTCTTTTCATTCTGTTACTCGAGTGCCTTCAACCAGAGATAATGTCAAAGTAGGAGCTTTTCCTTTTTGCTTATACGCCCCTACCAAATTATCTATTCATTTATGAAGCTCCAAAAACATTTTCATTATTGTCCCTGTCGTACGGCCTCTCCACAACATTTGCATTAACCTTTGTCATATAATATCTTTGATGAATCAACTTAACTTTTGGTGGCAGCCCTGTAATCATACATATCATACTTAGCTCTGAACAAGTCACATATCATAGATAGTATCGATAGGCGTAACATGCATTATATAAAATATGTACGGCATATTTAGACCTGACTCCAGTTTCGAAACGATGATTTTGAGGAGGATTTACTTCAATTCGAAGATATTAATGTAGGGTTTTTTCAAGATTTCAGGTGGAGAGCGACTCGGACTCATCGTCGGTGATATTGATTGCCCTCGCTCACTATCAACTTCATCGATGAGGAGGATTTGTTTCGATTTGGAGATGTTGATGTAGAGTCTTTTCAAAGCTTTAAGGGACCAACTGTATTACAAGGTGGAGAGCGACTTGGACTCGTCGTCGGTGGTCGACTGCCCTCGCTCACTATCAGTAGGATATGCTTCGATTTGGAGATGCTAATGTAGGGTTTCCCCATGGCTTCATGGGGCTTATGGTGGTTGACCTCCTTTTCTTTTTTTTTTTTCTTTTTTTTTTCTTTTTTTTTTTTGCTTTTTTCAACCATCGAACCGGTGATTTCGAAAGAAAAGAATCAGATCTGAACCGCCTTCAGATAGACTCCGGCTTGATTGCACAAAACAATTTAAAGGATAAAACATTTTTATTAACTATGGCAAAAATTAATTTTCCAGCTTTTATTTTAACTGTTCTTTAGCTTTTATTCCTTTTGGTCCGCAATCAGAAAGATTACTACATGCATGTTGGTTGGTTTAAAACATTCTAGAAAAAGAAAATTTTTATTTCTCTCAATAAATATGATCTAAAGATCACAATATCAAGGCTCGTACCAATGTGTCAGTTGATCAAACCTAACGCGGACGGCAAAATTGATGAGTGGATTCTCATGAGTAAAGTCAAATTAACCCTTTGTGCTCTATGACTCGGTAAATACAGAAAAAAAGATAAACAAAAATACATATTTCGTTTGGCCAACATAATTCCCTTTTGTGTGTCGATACAATGAGAAGTAGATATCATAATCACATTTAGGAACGCTATAGCATTCTTGCAAACTTCTCGGCGCCTTCAACCACAGAAGTGGCTTTCCTTTTCTTGGATAAACCACCATTGTCAACTCCAAACTGGGCAGCAGCCCTTGCTCTTAGTTCTTCCATTGTTTCTTTCTCTTTTGCTCGCTCGAGGACCTAAAGAACAAAAAATAAAAAGTTAGCCAAGCTTAATGGGCAATGGATTCGCACGTATATGAGGGGATGGCTATGAAGGAAATTACCAGATGACGACCATAGAGATGCGTGCTTGAAAGATTCTCCAATGCATTTTGTGCCTCTTGCTTAGTAACGTACTCCACGAATGCGTAACCCTTATGATGACCACCGAACTTCACTGGCAATCTTAAACTCTTGATCTGCAATCAGAGCATGATTTAAAAGCACTGGAGTATGGAATCATGTAATTTCGACCAAGTAATTCTTATATGCCAAACATATTTTATGAGGTGGAAATATCTACTAAGGATTGTCACCAATAGTCAAACAGATATCCCCACTATCAATAGAGATTTTTGAGAACTTAGAAACACAATGCCATATAAGACAGTAATCGAAAACATAACAGTACCTGACCAAATGGACTGAACAGCTGCTTTAGATCCTTTTCGGTTGCCTCAAATGCAACATTTTTTACCATCAATGTTGTTGAGCTCTTATTCTTCTCGTCTGTTTTAGGAACCTGTCCGGCTTTCTTGGAATGACAAAGTTGCATTATAAGGGCATGCCCATCCAGAACAGTTCCCTGGAGTGTAAAGTATAAAGAGCTATTATTAGACGACAATTAAACAAGAGAAATAAAGTCATTTGATCTGTGTAAGTTTCTCTGTTGAGTATCTCCAAATAGCAGCTGGTATTTTACCTGTAAATCCTTGCATACACTGGTTGCAGTTTCCACAGAATCGAATTCAATGAATCCAAAACCCATGGAAACATCCTTTCCCTTTTTTTGGTGCTTTTTTACCTAAAAAAACAGGAAGAACATTTGAAAAGAAGAATAAAGAGAAGAAAACTCACAATCCAATCAAGAGAATGTACCTTTACACTTTTTATTGTCCCATTATTCATTTTATCGCTAAAATGTTTCTTCAGAGTGTCATCAGTTGTCTTGAAATTCAGGTTCTTGACAAATAGTGATCGTGACTGGATAACAAGAACAAAAATAAAAAATAAAGAAAATATATCCATCTTCAAAGGTTAGCAACGAATCTATTCAACTAATTTTTTCAAACCAAAAACAGATTTGACAATTAATTTAGAGAAACACAAATTTCTGGGAAGGTTCTTGAAATTGTAATGCTCAGTAAGACTCAGGTAGTACAAAGACTAACATAAAGGATTAAGTAAAAAAAGAATTATCCATTAAGGTAGAATATGAAGATTCTGTTCAATATAAATCCATGCAGATATTCTTTTTATTGCAAAAATACTTCAGAACAAGTACCATGTTCACATGAAAGTATCAAGGCTATCAGCACAGGTTAAAAGACGATGAGAGGATGTACCTCATGAATAACAAAAAATTGTGTAACATCAGGAGATGAAAAAGAAACATTTGTGTTCATGGAATTTAAGGCCTATTAACAATAATTTGGACTTTCATATTTGTGCTACATTATCAAGGGATCATTCTACAGGCATTATCAGGCATTAGGTTACTTGCACAGTGATACCTTTAGAGCTATTTATACAAACTGGGTTAAATTAGGTTGCAAACGCCTTGATCCGATGCCAACTCAAGTTGAGCTTTCCTGACCTAAGCCTACTCTGAGAACCAGTAAACTCCATCCAAAATGAGCAAACTTCAGTCTGGGTTCAGGTTAGCCCATAAGAGTTGCTGCCTTGAGTTCTTATGAAGCTAAAGGTGGAACCTAGAAGAGATGATGCTTTTAGCACAAAGTAAATGTCTCCGACTATAACCAAAGTCATTTATTTGGACTGAGATATAGACATTCCCATATGCAGACATGGAAGTTCACAAGGCACTAATCTGTAATGCATAAGACATTATTACTAAAACCACCACTATGCTTGGAACTTATCAGAGAACAGTCTTAACAATAAATGGTGGAAAAGAAAGTAAAAAGTGGTTAATGCACCTGCCTGTATGCAGATGCGGCCCATAGACTGCACAGGAAAAGAAAGTAAAAAGTGCTTTCCTTGTGTATACTTAAACATGTGGTCTGCGTATACATAATGCAGATGCAAATGCCACATATGCAACCAACATAGCGGACCAGATGTATTAATTTATCCATCTTGATCTAGTGGATCAAGCCTATTAACAGATTCTCTGAAACCATTTTTAAGTTATACCACGAATCAATTTCAAATATTAATAATTATTTTTTCATAAATTATAATGTCACATGATCAGGGTACCAAAAGTTTTTTCATTTGATTATTTTACTGAGATATGCTATATACTTTTGTTTGATAGAGTATCATGAATTAGGAAGGATGAGATGGCGAAGTAATTCCAGATTTGAGTGATCCTACGGCTGAACGAAATTGACCTTATGACTAATTTAATATTTTTTTTAAACTCTGGAAGGGCACAACTTTAGCATGGAAAGGAAAGAAACAGATGATATTAATTATAATTAAATTTGTAAAGATAACATGTGCCTTATAGACCGTCGCACCTCCATCTTGTCAGGATCAATCTCCTCTTCTGGTATTCCTTCCACACTTTGCTCTAGTAGAACTTTCTTAACATGTTCTTCACCAATTACACTAATTTTCTCCCCATTCTGTGATTTTGGGTTAGAAGACAAAATGTCACCAGGAGCCCATTCCAAGTATAATGGAACATCCCTACAAGTTGGGAACATTATAAAGGAAAATTAGTAAACAGAGAAGATACAGAAGTATCACATCCAAAAGTCTACCAACAGAATAGGAAACATGGAGAAAAAAACATAAAAAATGTTGGTAGCATAGGAAACATGGAGAAAAAAAACGTAAAAATGTTGACAGTTGACGCATATCTTCAGAAGCATATGAAAACATATTCATTCATTCACAAATATGAATCAAATTTTAGAGAAATTACAAACTACAAAAAAAACTTTACTGTCGATTCAAAAAAAAAAAAGAGAGAAATATAAGATAGGACACGAAATGCTCGATCAAGTATTGTGTCCCTCTCTCAATGAGACTTTTCTTATGAAATCAACAAAATAAGTTTCTCATCCTTTACAGTATAAGCAATTTATCACAGAATTATAACACACGATGTAACAAGATAAGGCTAGAAAATAGAATGTCAACTGATGTGTTCTGAAAGTTTTTTGTTATAACAAATATTCCATAATATGAACTCAACTTTGTACATATTTTATGATGGTCATTTAAGGAGCCAAGAAAACTACCATAAGCAGTCAACTTCAAATTAACTTTTGAAGCATATAAAGCTTATTATGTATATAGTTGGTGCCAATAAGTCTCAGAGGAAGCAAAAAACACTAGGATATGTAGCTACAAAGAAATACTGAATTGTTTTGAATTTATGGTCCTTATTGGACCTTTAGTGGTAAATCCCATTTTCTTAATGTTAATCATTGCTTTCTTGCAACATCTTCCTTTCCTTTCTTGATTCTAACATTTTTTTTTAATTTTTCTTTCTTTGTCGGTTTGTCGCATTCATCTGAATATGCATCCTTCAACTGTTTCTAATACAAGAAGTTGATGGGAACTTCCATTTGTGTTTTATAGATTATTATTCATAAATTATATTGCTTCATAGTTACACTCACACCGTGTGTATTCTGTCCTCAAACTGAACCTGTCATATAGTACCCAACGCAAGCTATGACCTAACTGACAATTTGGTGTACTGGTCCAATTGCATGTTTACTGCAGTTTTGGTGTAAGTGCCACTGGGACACAAACTGACAATACCCATTGGTAGACATGATTCCACAGTAGGGTTATAACTAGGCAATTCTCAAATAGCAACCCTCCTCTTTTCAAACTTTAACTTTTTAAAAGCCAAATAAATAAAATGCTCACAACAAGAACAAACTTCCTCCCAATTACGACTAAGATGACATTAAAAAAAATGTCCATGTTTAGGCTTATCAATTGTGACTACACCTTCCACCATATGGAAATTGTGATCATAGTTGTTGCTTCAGCAACAAAGGGATAAATATGTTAATTTACAAATTAAATTTCCTAAAATCTAACCTTTCATGTGGTATCCAACACTAGAGATTAACAACAGTCTTTTCCTTAAATAAACACCCATAAGACATAATGGAATGTACATTAGAAAGTGCTTGAACTTTTCAAATTTCTTTTTAAATAGAATTTAAAAAAGGATTAATCAATGAACTTACTTATATCGCTTATATGCTAAACCCTTGAAAGCTGCACGAGCTTCTCCAGCTTCAAGAAAAATTACCTGAGAGAAACTTCAGTTTAAATCCTAAAAGGTGCAAAAGACACTTCAAACTAGATAGGCCATGAAATGGATCTACATCCAAACAGATCTTCAAAGAACCACAATATGTAACTAGCATGAATCTAGGAAACAATTTACTTTTATTAGCAGTAAATCTGTTCCTAACTACATTTGGTAATTGGTATTAGACGTAATCAATATTCCACAATGAAAAAAGTCATAAAATGACATGAGTAATTAACTGTTATCTACACCGCTGTATTGGGTAAAGCAACAGTTTGATGTTTCGCAGGATGCAGTTGCATTTAAGGTTGAAGGCTTTTAAGTTCACTATTTGAGCCACTTAGCTAACAGAATTGCACATGCTGGAAAGCCATGCTATGCCATGCAAATACTTGGAGAGTGTAGGTAACCTAATGGAAGTGAGGAACAAAAGAAAAGCCAAGGGTTGAAACTTTAAAGTCTATTTTGCTTTTCTTCAAGTATCGAGCACCAGCTTCAGGAAGCGAAGAACCCTCTTCGTGCTGGCATGGAAGACTGAATATCATGTGAAGGAATCCAATTCTGTAGTAAGATGAAAGTCAAGAGGTGCAGACTGCTCACACCAATTGTGTATGATGAAGTTCCATCCATTGATGACGAGAAAAAAATTAGCAACTAGATGATTGACTATTCTATCCTGAGAGTTACATAAAGGACATATAGGATTATGCCTTGGAAAATCTCAGACTATGGATTTTATGGTGTATGCATAGGTGCTTGCATCTTCCTATTGTTGTATGAATTTGTATTCTCCACAATTAAGCAGTTCGCAAAGGGTTTGTGCAAAGAATATCCCCTACTTACCCCATAATCATATGTATCTGTCACTGACATTCCCACAAATAATAGAAGTAATGTCATTGTGAGGTGCAACTACCTGATATGTAGGAGCAGGACCATAGAACTGAAGATGAATAAATGTACATCGAATTTTTTTCTTAGTCAGGACAGAAGAGAAATTATCTTCCAAGATGATTCCACACTATCAAAATTGTTTTATCTACATAAAATATCAATCAAAAAACAACTGAACAGTTAATAATGCATAGATAGATAATAAAATGGCTGAAAATTGATCATCATACCAAGGCCAATACTCTTGTTGGTGGGAGAATAATTTTATCAAGACTCCCATATTTCCCAAACATGTTAGCAAGATCTCCTTCACTAGAATTATAAGGCAAGTTCTTAACCAATATCACATGATTGCTTCTTTTGGTATTTTCAGTCTTCTTAGAAGCATGTTCTTCCAATGCGAGAATGTTAATTCCAGCATTAGAAAGAGCTTTCTTAGTTTCTGCTATCACATGTGTTTCCCCAAGGGCTATGCGTACAGCAAGATCATCTGCTTCACTGTCAAGTAGATCACTCTTCTTAATGCCATGCTTCCTTGCTATATTTTCAACTACCTATGCAAGATCACGAGTTATATTGAGAAATATGTACATAAGTCATTTGCATTTATGAGACATAGCAAACACATCAACAACAATTAGCTACATTACAAACATACATGCCAGAACCAAGAAAAAGAAAACTTAGTGATGTCCTGTTGAGTTGCTAGTGATCAGATTAATTTCAATCCTACTCTTCTCTAATGTTAGTAGTTCCTCCGCATCCATCATTGTTTGCTCAATCAGATAGAAACAATTAACTTTAAGAATAGAAACAGGCAGCAAAAGGTATCTATCAACCAAGATCTATGCCACTCATCCTGTAACAAGTAGCACAAATAGCAACACCAGACACTAACAAAATATGCTGGTAATGACTCTTATCCTAATTCTGTTTTAGGATTAAAAAATAGCAACACCACAATAGGTCTTAAAAAACAAGGAATTTTTAGTTTTAAGCATTCATATATTGGAATACATATTAAGCCTATTTAATTTGCAAAACATGCGTCGAAAAAGTCATGCAACAGATTGTCTAAGTGAAGCATTATGTTACAATAAACTTCTGAAACTATAAAAAAAAAGTTCATACATCTATACAATAACGTACAGATTTTTATTAAAATTCCAATATAACAATACACTGTTGGTCATAAATTTTCTCCTTTGATTCAAAATTGCATAGTAGTATAGTACTTAGTTATGGTATAGAAATTACCAACTTATACATATTCTTTACATAATGCACACATCACAAGTGAATAGGATCAAAAGAATTCTTTTTTATTTTTGTACTTTCACATCTCAATGCCCCAGAAAGAATCAGTTTATACAATCAAGCAGAAAGAAGAACATCACAGATCAGAGAAGCATACAGCCTATATGTCAATGGGTATTGATGAACCATAAGAATTTTTGCAACGCATGAGAGTCATATACTCAACAACAGATAATTTTCTAGTTCTAAAAAGGTTAACATGGTTTCTAACAAAAAGGAAAGCAGTACAACACCATCAATACCCAAAAACACATTCTCAATTATTTTAATATCAAAAGAAACTTATAAGGGAACAATGTTTGACCAAGCCTTCTGTGGGTTTCCTGACTTGCAAGACTTGGAAAAAATGTGCAACATGGATTAAGGAAACATTTGTTCAATAACCAATACACCACAACTTGTCAAAAGTTGAAGCTTCAGATCTGGCTCCTTTTAGACCAAAAACAAATCCTCTAAACCAAAGTTCTAAGTCTCAGTACGGTACCAGATTTGGTAATCTAGCAGACCAATTTGGTTCAGGTGTACCAAGTGTATATTGATCTCTACCATAAAAAAACAATACCAACTAGTTATCGGTATTTGACGCCTTGATCTAAAAAGAGAGCAACATCAAGGACCTACAAAAGAGTCCAATATCCTTACTGAACTGGAATCAAACAGGAAGCTTCAACTGGTTTAAACTGACTAGTTTTCAAAGCATCATTCCAACAATAGTTGAAGCTTTAAATTCAACTGCAATTATACATAGAATCAACTATCAAGGATCTCTGCTTCGCCTGGACCGGTATGAAACAGGAGGTACACACCAGTTCAGGCGTGGACTGCCCAATTTCAGATGGTCCAGTCCAATTCAATATAAAAACAAAAAGAAGTCATCACCACCACTGCTGTTCACCTCGCCACCACCTACCTCTCTGGTACGCTCCCTCCTCTTCCTGCACTGCTCCCCTTCTTCCTTTCTCTTCCTCCACTGTCAACTTCTTCCTTCCTCTTCCTCCTCCATTGTGCCTTCCTCTTCTCCTTCTTCATCTTTGAAATACCAATACGTACTGGTATATCATGTATCGATACACCGGTAAGGATCAGTATGTACCAATCTGACCAACGGTTGGTATGGGTCCAACACATGATATAACATTCCTTGCATAGTATTCATCTTCTCCTCATTGTAACCATCTCCAATTTCTCAATGCCAGAAGTTACATACTGACAAAAGATGAATTAGACACAAGGTGATAAGGAAAAAAATTGCAAATTATCTGAAAAGCAAATTTGGCACCCTCACACGACATTTCTTTATCGTAGAGAGTCATACCATCTTAAGCCATAGGAGATGTGAGAGCAAGGTTTTAAATTATATACTGGCCATTATTATCGGTCTGAGCATGAACCAGCATGTGGAACAGTCCTTTACAGGAGGTTCTTGATATGGTTCATTAGTCATCGAGTGATAAACCCAGTTCATTTTTTATATTTTAAGGTTAAAGTAACCCCTAGCACTCTTCTCTCAATCTACTGCTCTGACTCAGGTAGCCTGCTGCTCGTGCCCTCCGCCGGCTTATCGAAAACTACTACTTTTCCTCCTCTTCCTCCAAATCCTCTTCTGCTTCTCCTCAGATACCCCTCCTGGTACTTCAATACACTGGCTCATATCAAACGAGGACTAGTATAAGTATGACACCAAAATTTTAACGATGTGTGAGACTTCTAATACCTTGAAGAATAAGGACATTGACTGAAGCACACTCAGTCATAATTGTTTGCACTTTTGCATATTCTGCAGTGCACTTCAACGAGAAGTCAACAAAAACAAAACTCTTATTGTCTAACTAATGAAATCAATTCACAGGTAATTGCAGCCAAGACATAATAATTTGAAAAAAAAAATCCAAACCTTGAAATGAGCAAGGTGATATATCATCTTGCCATTTCTTCCTCAAATGGCTGAATAAATGGGTAAGGAAAGAAGCAGGCACATTAATACTTTAATCAGAAAAATAATGATGTCAAAACAAAAATGTAGCTGAAGCAAGGATCATATGAGAGCAATGGGCACAACATCAGAATGGGCCTTTAAACTTATAAGGATTTATATCTGAAATAGAATCATACTGTGTCTGGACGCATAAACAAACTATTCCATGCTCGTGTATCACCGCTAGCTTCAGATGCCTTCTTCTGTTCCTCACGTTGCTGCTTCAAGCTCTTTTTAGTAGTGGCATGATCAGACCTTGAAGGATGGTGAAAGAAACAGATATCAGCAGTTCACATAAGAAGATAGGAAATTGTAGCTTGTATTCCTAAAAGCCTTGTGCCAAGAAAGACAACACTATAATGAAATATATGCTTACTCAAGTTTCTCAGAAGTTGAATTTTTAGGTTTTGCAGGCATAACATGTAACAATCTGCCTTGGAATATTGAGTTGTCCAATTCTTCCAGTGCCCTATAACAAAGAATAACTAAATAAGCATGCCACATAATTAACAAAACTAGAATTACTGAAGTAGTTAAACAACAAATATCTGATGCTATGCTTGAAAAGCCACATATCTGTGAATTCGAAGTTTAAATCAAGACCACTTGAAGCATGAACATTTGTCAATGCACAAACTTGATCTTTAAGAAGATCAAGATGTGACACAAGTTTTCAGCTTCCAATGGCAAGACGCAAAGCATGCTAAAAGAGTATGATAACGGATGATGCCAAAACAAACAAGCACATGACACGTAGCACAAACTATGCCAGGGTTGTCATTCCAAGACCAAGTTGTTTTAAGTCATGAATGTTAGATTTAGAATTGGTATTCTTCAACATTTGGCATATGAAGAATTAATGTAAAACATAAGTATCTAAACTGCAACAAAATGCTGAGAACACATTTTTAACACTTTTAGTCAGTTTATGCATCAAAATTTGGCTGAAGGTGAATGAATGATCTCATCCTAGGGAAAAATTTACATCCTCCTACTTTCATTGGTCCCATTTTTTATGTAATCACATTCAGGAAGTAATAGGTCCTAAACAAGAGAAAGTAATACAATCAATTAAGTGTATTGCACCTCCACTCCATGAAGCACCAACAAGAATTCAATTGACCTCAATGCCTAAACAACTTTTAATCACCTAGTCTGATGCTTCATCGGTGTATGTAAAACTTTCCTAGAGCTTCAAACAAAATACAATTCTAGGTTTGTCTAACAACCAAGTCTTATCCATCTCAGCATGCTTGTTCACAGTTCACACACACACAGCTTTTAACATTTTTCCCAGATCATCTTCGCATAATACATCACCAATAATCAACTAGCACTAATACATCAGCTGATGCCATCGTGGACATCAACTTCTGTGAAAGAAATATTTTGCTGTGGCAGATGAAGATGAAATTAAATACACCTAGTACTCTTTTTCTTTCATGTGTTAGCAAGTGATTCTTCTTTTTGCATGATTAAAAAAACAAGGGAAAAGTAGAGTTCAACCACTGGTAATAGAAAATAACATACCAAATCCATAAATAGACACTACTTTAAATGATACCTTTTACATTATTAACTAAAAGTGTATATTCATCTAGAAAATTAGAATTACTTTTCAGCTAATATAGTTACCTCATCGCAGATTCTGTGAGTGTGTAAAACACATAGCCTATTCCTTTAGATCGTTTTGTATCTTTGTCAACAACAAGATGAACCTCTGATAGATCACCAAACTGACTAAAGAGTTCTGCCAGATCATCTTCACTGCATATCATTAACAGTAAATTGATATAATCAGAAGAAAATAAAGGTGAAAATAACCATTTAGCACAAGATCTTTCGAAAAGTTAAGATAACTTGATCATACGTTGCTGTGTATGGAAGATTGCGAACAAACAACCGACCAGTTTCCATTGCCGGCTTGTTCTCATTATTAGATGATGTGTTCTTAATATCATTGTTTTCTCCATCAGAATCTTTCGAAGATTGCTCTTCTATCTCAACTTGTTCATACTCTGTGCATTTCATACCTGGTATATCAATTGTTTTATCTTTTGCATCTGTTTCCAGCAGTTCACTGAGGGATTCTTTTTCATCTTTTTCTAAATTATTATCATCAGTTTCTGAATCTGACCAATTTTTCTTAACCCTACTTTTAAAATATTCCATATCCGTTGTGGCATCCTCTCCATTGAATTGCTCTATGGGAATTATTTCAGAAGACTCTATTTGTGTAGGGCTAGATGAAGTCCCATGGGCTGTCTCATTTTCCCCCTTAACCCCTTCAGTCTTATCTATTTGAGCAGATTGCTTTTTCTTAGTTTTACATTTCTTAGTTTCTTCCTCATCAGCAATTCCATCTGGGACAATCACATTAGAAGCACCCAAAGAATCATTAGCCCACATCTTTAGTTTGGACCGTGGCTGCATAATCTGAAGAAATTCTTTCAGTTTAGGATCATCTTTTTCACTGCGTTTGGCATCTTTTGACATAACAGAAAAGGATTCTAAGCCTTTGGATGTTGAGCCAGACAAACTTTGATCTTTTGTAACTGAACTATCCTTGTTTCTATTTGTTAAAGGATCTACTTTCTTTGTCGAATAATGACTCCATGGACGATGAATATTGGGGTCACCAACTCGACGAGCAACCTGCAATGGACAACTATTTTATGTAAATATCAATGCTTTTCAGAGTAAATACTGTTTGCTACAAAGCAAAACAAGAAATCTTAGACTGACAGAGGGATAGGCCTTGAAGAGAATGAACTCTTCTCTTTCAATAAAAAAGGTGCTATAGGGAAACCATGTTAGGATCACCAAATAGTTAGAAACTAAGGTTTTTGTTTTTAGCTACATTGTAAATAAGTCAAAAGTAATTTTCATGATGTAGTACAGTGTTCAGCATATCTTACCAATAATCATGAATGAACATGATGAACTTGGACTATCCAAGGACATTGCCCTTCACAGAGGTGAATTTCAGATACTAATCCATGTAGTTGGGCACAAATAGCTTGGAAATCAAGTGGATGAGTGACAGACCATACACGAGTAGGCAGCAGACAAAAAATCAATTACTTTAATGGGGGCCAACAGCATATGGTACTGACAAGGTAGCTTTTAATTAAACTGGCAATTTCTATTTTTTCTGTCGAATTTTAGGATAGAATATATAACATTAAACGTTAATCATATAAATCAATACGATTTAGAAAGTTAGATACAAACTTCTCAAAAGAGTGCATATGATTTTTTTTGCCTACTTTATTGAAGAAGAAAAAAACTCTTCAGAAAAATATATTAAAGAAGTCTAAGCAGGAAATAAATTACTTAAGCTTTGGTTATGCAGATGCCAGATAGCATTCAACTCCATGCACAAACAAAGCCACCAGCCAAGAGATAACTTTGTGTTTAAGTCCCAACCCACTAAATACCAAAACTAATGATAGAATCTTTGATGCCAAGCACAATCAGGTCAGTGGTATATACCATCAACTATAATACAACTAAATAAAAAAAGAAAAAACAAGAAACAGAGGGATCATACAGTACCTCACATGTGATTTTCAATGTATCCATGTAAGAATTGTTAAAGTAGTTGAGAGCGTCTTCAGCTTCCCTCTCAGTCCGGAACCCGATAAATGCAAATTGCCTACTCTTTCCATCTCTAACAGAAACAAAGGAGATTATTCAAGTTTAACATATATATCCCAAAGCCACAAAAATTACTATACAAACAAAATATGTCATCTCAGAAGATTTTTTTTTTTTTTCTGTTTCTTGGTTTTGAACTGGTCACCGGGCAGATCATTAAGTGACAAAAAGAAGCAAATAAGTGAATCATATCAGGTTCTTGATCCACTTTGTAAAACGATGAGCTATTTAAATGAATGAATGAAAGCCAAACAACAAAATGACTAATCTTCCAATAATGAATGAAAGCCGGAGAAGAACATTCAAATTAGAAAAACTAAACCCTACCAATATAATGTTTGATGAGCAATGAATGAAGGAAACTATCTACTTGTATAGCGCAAGAAAATATTTTCCCAATTATTAAACTTGTCTAAAGAGCAGGTTTTCTATCTAAAAAATAAAAATGCGTTGATCCCGTGAAGAAATATGGAACCTTTATAACGCACAAATTCGCTACTCCTGGAATATATGGTTGGAGCTTATCAAAGCTCGACGAACAAAGATATTTCCAAGGAAGCAAACATAAACGATGCAACTACTGTATAGAGTGCAACATAGAGCAACAGAGCAATTCATTGAATTTCGTACTTGGTGCGCATAAGCTTGGCATCGGTGACCTCCCCCTTCTGAGAGAAGAATTCCCGGAGGCGGTCCTCGTTGACGTACTTGGGCAAATTCTTGATGCAAAGCCGAGACCTGCAGACGATTTGAAGGAGAATTATTCAGAGCAAGGAGGGAGGCAAAGAACTCGGGAAAGAGGGGGAGGAACAAGCCACTCACATCGTAGACAGCGGTAGGGTTTTCCCAGAGGCGACTCGAAGTGCAGACACGAGAGAGATGGCGGTAGGGTTTTCCTAGGGCAGCTGTTGTAGGAAACTCGCACCGGATCTGACGAGAGGCGTCTTAGGGTTTTGCGAATCTCAAAACTCTCCTATTGCACTTCTGGCATCGCACGGTGGGCGTGGAGAAGAGAGAGCTCAGTTATAGTCGTGTAGTCGTGTTGAAAAAGCCTTGACGAGAGGCGTCATGCGGCATCCGTAGAGGATGAGGGCTGGCCGATAGGAAGGTGTAGTCGTGTTGAAAAAGCCTTGCCGGAGTCAGTTTTCACCACCTTAACCCAGTCGTGCACGATGAGCCGGACGAGGGTTTTTGTTCAGGTTTCTGGCCGGCGCGGGCGGTAGAACGAACCGCGTTGTCTCGATGAGATCCTTTATGGCGTAGCTGGGGAGCCAGTTGGGCAGGATAGGGTTAGCGTCAGAGACGATTCCGGTTAACTCGAGTTCACTTTGGATCAAACTAAGAACTGATTCTATCAGATCACGAAAGCAGCGCAAACGTACTTGAGTTCAAGTCAAGTACTGTAACGTTAAAAAAAAATCATTTATTTAATTTAAGTTAAAAAAAACAATATTTATCCTAAAAGAAAATATCTAATGACCCCCTCCCTCTTTATTGTCACTCGTCCAACAATACCTTTTTTTTTGGGAATCCTTTTTACTTTACCTTTTGATTAACAAGCAAAAAAGATTAATCGGTGTCCAATTGTTTTATTCTAAATATCTTATCTTCCTAACTATTATTAACTTAGAGGTAAGTCATATCGCTTTGATTGTGATTCGATGAGAGACATTTTACGAATCTCAAAGCACTCCTAAGGCGAGAAGGCTAGTTAAGTTAAATAAAGTTCGGGTAAAATAATAATTTTTTTACCTCACAAGAAATATTAGATATTTCATGCAACAGAATATAAGTCTTTAATACACGATTAAAAATCAAACGAGAATATATATATATATATATATATATATATATATATATATATATA